ATGGAGAGTGAGAAATAACTTGCCTGCAGTCTAAGTCAAGACAGAGCAAAAAGAGATATCAGCCCCTACCACTCTTCCCATGCTGAAGTTGGACCATGTTGCCTTCTCAGTTTACACCCCCTTAGTAGACATCATGGCATTGTCATATGTAATTCCTAAATTCAAAACTGTTGTTCTTCATATTTAAAATATCCTAATACATATGAAGCAAACATAGATATACATGCTAGCGATTTTTCTCAGGAATAACTTCTGATTAGTGAAACAGCTAGGTTTAGTTCCTTTATTTTTTCCCCTTCCTTTTGCGTGTCATCATAACTTACGAAGAATCTGTGCTGCTATATTACAAGAATTGCTCACTGGCAAGTCAAGCAAGACAATGCAGATATGATACAGGCCTTCTATTTTTTTTTTTCCAGTTGTTTAATGACAAAATCATACATAAAATTAGTACTTAAAATTCTGATGTTTTATTCTGTGCAAGTAAAATTAAAAATTTAAATACAAAATAATCACATTTTTAAAAACAAAATCATAGGTTAGTTTTACTCAATTAAGACATATTAAAATAAGTAGCAGCTTAGTATCAAGACATTAGTGTGCACTTCATCAATAAAGAACTGTTATCTTCTTTAGATCAGAGTCAGAAGTTCGAATTTCTTGTATTTTGATTCATTATTTGACCTGGATGTCTTAACTCGAGCTATGTATCACAGGAACAAACTCAACAATTTTCACAAGATACAAGCCCTTAGCCAAAAACCATTGCCACTGCATTAAGCATTGCGACATAAACCAAATACATCTCACAGGTGCTTGCTTTGGAGGGCACACGAGTATTCAGAATACTTGTGGTGGATTCCTCTTTCCTTAAGGTAGCAGTTGTGCTTTGAGGCATTTTGGAGTAGTTTGTTGGCATTCCACTGGTGATACTCAAAGTCATGGGAGTGGTGGATGGTCCTGTTGAACGAGCCAGGCTTGAGTTCACATCGGTTGAATCTTTGATGTAGATTGTGTGCGTGGCTGCTGCTTCTTGAGAACTGACCTTCCTGGTCGTCAGCTCTTCCGGATAGAGGAGCAGCGGTCGGTCCGTGCTCGTGAACAGTATGGTTTGGCTTAAGGTGGCCAAGGTAGAAACTTCCTTGGCTTTAAATTGTTTATGTGTTTTTGTCGTTTTGGTTGGTTCACTTGCCACTGGAGAAGCAGCTTTGTCTGCTGCCTTCATCCCTTTGATCATGAGGCTGGGGTCTATAGCCGTGGGAGCCGCTGAGGTTGGTGTGGCATTCAGCCAAAGCCCGGATTGATTGGCGCAGGGAGCCCCTATAACACTGGCAGCTGTTCCCTGCACCCATTTCAGCAAATACGGGATGTTTTGTTTGTCACTGCAGGACCATGGGTTGTTGTATAGAGTTACTACTTGCAGCCGAAAGAGGTGGTCAAAAGCTTTGTCAGGAATGTGCGTGAACTTGTTGTTGTGCAGGTAGAGGCTCGTGAGGTGTTGTAGTCTCAGCAGTGTTCCTGGAAGTATCCGGGACAAGAAGTTGTTGGATAGATCCACCGTCTCTATGTTGTAGGGCATATTGGTTGGAACTGTCCAAAGTTTGTTGCTGCTGAGATTGAGAAACTTGAGACTGCTCAGTGTGTTGTTGATCAGAACAGCTCTTTCCACCATGTTCCTGGAAACATCGAGCACTTTAAGATTCCACTGGTAAGCTGTGTCAAGTTTCTGGAGAACTTTAATGTTGTTGTTTATGGCATATAATTCCCATAAGGACTTGGGCAGATGAGCAGGAACATTCTTGAGCCAATTATTTGAAATATCAAGGGTCCTCAAATTGGTGAATCTCGTTAGCTGATGATCGAGATCTACGAACTGGTTAAAGGACAGATTTAAATATGTAATGTTGTCTTGAAGTCCATGTGGCAGTATAGTTAAGTTTCTGCCTGAACAGTCCACATTCCTGTCGTTTCCTGAGCATGTACAGTTAGAAGGACAAATACCCAAAACAGTGGGTGTGAAAAACAGAAGGACCAGCAGACAGGTAGATGAATTCAATATCTGGTATTCCATCGTTGCCTGGAAATAAATATACCAAAGTGACACCCTTTAAATCCATGTAATATATTTTATTCCTTTATAAGGGTTGTCTTTGCAATGACCACTTGCAGGAGAAATTAAGTAAAAATATCAATAAACCCCTTTGTGGCACGATCCTTTTTAGAATTGTTCAAGAGAGACTTTACAAAGCATCCCTTCATAGACTGTCATGTTGTCTGGCAGAATGAGACTTGTTTTTTCATCTCCCTTTCCCCCTCAAGCTCAAATGAGGGCTTTCTTCCGAAAATGCAAGTCTCTTCCAAATGTTATACAATGTCTGCTTCTTGTTTTTAGTGATTTCAAGCCTATATTATGTTTGGAATAATGTGTTCTTTTATACAGGATGAAAAAATGGCTGTCAACTGGATCTGCTTTACAAATCTCTGCAGCAATGTAGCAGTCCCCCCCACACATACATGCTATTTGCTTAAGTAGAATTGGTTAAAATACATCGTAAATTGTTAGGAATTTAGTTTGAAACCCAGATTCCACGTTCATGCTGACATGCAGATTATTATTTTTCCTTATTGTAGTGTTAATTACATTCTCAAAGCTGGTAACACACGCTCGGAAGCTGAATTAGTGTTAGTAAGAAATCTCTGACACTGCAGCAAATTTCTGGTGCAAGCATCTGTCATCAACTCATAATTTCGTCCTTTATTTCTGCCTCTAATTTCGTAGCAGGCTGTTGTGATTAAAACCAAAAAAAAACCGCAAACTTACCGGGGTCCCTCCTGCGGGATCAGCACATCGTTTCTGGGGAAGATTTGAGCTTAGAGGTCGCCTTGTTCTGGAGAGCAGCTCCAGTGGGTGCCTGTGGGCTGTGCGTGCCTCCTCAGCTGCATCGTACTGCTGCGAGCGGGGCTCTGCAGCCACCTGATCCGCTCCCCGGCAGGACTGCAGAGCTGTCGTCCGTGCTGACTCAAATTTATTGCAAAGCGCCTCGTCAGTAAATGAGCTGGGTTCAGAATTCGAATCCGTTAACTTCTCCCTGTCTGTGCTTTGTGCTGTGTTAGTGCATCGAAACACGGCACGGAGCGCTGCCGGCAGAAACGGCACCGAATGGAATCTCTGGAGGCTGTTTTAGCTTCAGCTGTGATTCCATTTAAATGTTCCTGTTTAAAAAAGTCACGTTAAGTTGTGTTCTTTTTAATCGAAATTAACCTCCCCTCCTGGATAAAGGTTAATGGTAATTTAGGCTTAAGCTACGCTGCCAGAATATCTTTTCATGATTCTGAAATACTCAGTTTTCTGCTCCTCAGACCAGGCTATTGCTGTATTGTCAGGTATGATATAGCTCAGCATGTAAGATTTTACAGATTTCTATAGGAAATCTGTGTCTGAATTTCTCCAGGCAATATGGTAGGGTGGGTATAGTTCATAATGCTGTCAGTTTTAACATGGAGTAATGCAACAAGCCTTAAAAAAAGTCGTGCATAATTGGAATGCTGTTCTTTAGGCATATACAATCGTACAGCTTATATAAATGGTAAGAAAAAATGTAAATATCTTTTCCTATGTCCATTGTGTGCACAGCAGCCTAAAATTGCATTTGCATAATTCATGGCTTTAATTTTTATTAGTAATTTTAAGATTTTTGAAGTTTATTGTTGTCATATATGCAAGCATGTGCTCTGTGCAACATCCACAAATATATTTCCTCCCCAAATAAATTCTTTGCTGTTTGGCAGAGATGTCATGGAAGGCCAGCTTCAGTGTACAGCAACTTCTTTCTATAGATGTAAGTATTCAATACTGGTAAAAACCCCTCAGTTTACCTCTGAGACAACCGTCCTACTTCCCACCAAACAGTTGGCTTATCAAAATGCATGGTCGTGGACAGGATGGTGAGCTTCGCTTTTACTCAGGGCCCAGAAGGGAACATGTAAAACACTTAAACGCCTTGAATTAAAAGGAATCTAGCATCCACGCAGCATTAAATTAATTTTTAAAGTTTATATTAGTAATATTGAGTGCATTCTGAAAATACTGCCTCACACAGACATTAGTGAATGCACACGACTAATTGTGTTAATCATTTGCCTGGGCGTTCTGCAAACTGTTTCTATTTTATCCATAAAAATCATAAGTATTTAGGTAAAAGGCTTTTTGTGCTTGTTCTCCAAGTGTTTGGAGACATGTCAGCTTTTTAGTGACCACTGTATTAACTGTTTACTTGCACCATTCTCTGCTTTACCAAACAATAGTGTGAAGTGACTGGAGGGTTTAGACTGGTAAATTTTTTGGCAATATTTGATCTGAAGGAAACCTCGTTACTATTAATAATGAACAAGTGGTGGCTGCGAGGAGGATTTGTGTCCCATACCTGTAATCCATTTGTTACCAGGTTGGTACCAGTCATGTGCAGCAAATGGACCTTTGTGTGAAAGAGGGGGGTGTGTGCACGTCGAGGCGGTTAGACTTGGGTTTGACTTGGAAGCTTTGTGTCTCAGCAAATGCTTTAAGTGACCAAACCATCTTTGAATGAGAAAGCTTTATTAAAATCAACTTGACTTCATTGCATTTGCTTATACAGCCTAATAGAACAAACGATTTTTAGAAGCTCTGGTTACCTCTAAAGCGGTGCTGTTTCTTGAAAGCTCCATGTCTATGCGTAGGTTACACACACATATGCATATGCTGTTTTCTGTAGTCTCCAAAATCTGGCATCACTAATTTCAGATAACTAGTGGGCACAATCCATATTGTATTTTGAAATGATTTGCTTCAGGCAGAAGCAGGTTGTTCCCTTCTGTGAAAGCCGAAGTTGAGACACACTGGGGAAGTGCCTGCGCTGCGGTCTCGCTGCTCTTGCCCGCGTCAACTTCTCCTTTTTTCAGTTGTTTGAAGAATACTTCATTTCAGAAAAATGTGAAGTGTGCTGGAAATCAATTTTGGCAGCCTACAAAGGGTATTCTGGCGCTGGCAGCTGGGGCAGTGGCTCATCAGTCTCTCGAATAAGGAACTCGGGTGGTGGGGGCAATTGTTCCTCTGTTTCTGAGTGACATTCTGGGTACTTGCCAAGATCTGAGCTCTGATCCTCAGTTGGTTCCCTGAGCCAGTCGGGTGGAGGTGGCAGATGTGGGGATTCAGGGAGAGGACAGGGGTGGTGCGCACAGCTCGCCGCTTCGGAGATGGGAGCTGGAGAGGTGTCCGTGTCGGGGACTGGAACACCGGCCGCGGAGCCGTCCTCTGCTGGTGGAGGCAACTGGCTGTTCTCATTGCTGGTCGTGCAGTGGGGCGGCTTCTCTGATGCAGTGGGGTCGTGCTGTAGGTTGGTGTCCAGTTTTAATTTCCAAGGCAACATAAATAAAACCGATGAACGTTTGGTAACCTGGTCAGAATCCATAAAGCCATCCGGTGTGTCTCCATCTGCAAAGGGAGAACGACCTGCCCAGTTTGCATCAACTAGAGCCGGCCTCCTGCAGCACTTCCACAGAAGAATTATCACAATAGCCATTATCATACTAATCAAAATGATGCCAATTATCAGTGCTGCTATCCAGCTTCCTTCGCTGGGTTCTGCGTGTGCTTCGGGGAGCTGAGATGGTGTCGTAACAGTCAGTGCTCTTCTAGATTTGTGTAAAATGGGTCCGTTTGCTTCCAGCTGATATAGAGGAGCTTTGTCTTCTGTTGGACTCCCGATGCTGGTGTATGTGTTTCTTTTATGCATGGAAATGTTTTGAGGTATTGCTGTAGAAAGGGATTTCCAGATTCCTCCGTAGAAGAGAACCAGTATTACTTGGCTGCTGGCCATTTTCCTGCAGCCTCTTTAAATGTCTCCTCTCCTAGAGCAGGGATGAAATATATTAACTTGAAAACTGCATTTGTTTTATAGTTACACCTTACTGACACCAGACAATTTCGTGTTAATACTATAGTATTGAAAATAATGTTAGATTTAATGTTTAAAATTTCAAGTCTGTTCCCGTTTGCATAATAGCAGGTTTGTCACTCACTTCCCAAACAGCAGGCAGATTTCCAACACTATTGATCGTTCTAATTAAGTGACTTTGTTGAAGAGAATGTCTTGGTTATTATTACTTTTTTTCACCTGATCAGAAAAAGGCATCAGCAGAGAAGTCCTGAGAGTGTTTCAAAATAACAACATTTATCAATCATGTAAATGGTGGTGGAGCTGGAGCAGAATGAGAAACACTCACAGCAGCATCGACAAACAGGATTGTCACGAGTAAAGAAAATTGTCTTGTTTTGATGGAAATAGGCCGAGATCTAAGTAAAAGGCTCTTTAATTCTCTTAAACTTTGATTTCCTGTTCTTGCCTCTCTTTAGCAGTTAAGGGTAGAGCACAATAGTTTTTAAAAAGTTGCTAAATACTGATGGTGTAATGGAACGGCGTTCTAATGTTGAACTGTCTTCATGGATAAATTTCTGCACGTGGAACACTTTTTGTAATGAAGGAGAGTTAATGTTAAACTGTTGGCCTGAAACAGATTTTTGTTTTTCCCCCTGTACTGTTCAGGTCTCTGAATGTCTCTGTATGAGAGAAATCGTAAAATACATCTACGTAATGATTTTTTTATCTGAAGCTACTTTCATGCAATTGGAGCTAATTTATTAGTTACTCTAATGCTAGTCATGTGATGCTGTTCCTGGGAAATTTATATGCATAAATCTTTGTGGGTTTCCAAACAAGCACAATTAAATTTGAGATGCAACAGTGTAAACGCCTATGAGTAGTAAATTAATGCTTCTCGAGAACATTATGATCTAAACTCTGTAAGGTTTGTAACCGGTTAAAAGGATTCAATTTAATTTTCTCTGCTCCCCTCTTTTCAAAACACAGTCAAACAATACTTACATGTAAAGTTCATAGAAGTTCCTAGTAGCAACATCAAACAACGTGTATTTGAAACCCTGATGCTTTCAAGATACAGACACTCAACAGGAGCTTGGAGTACCCCCTGAGGTCAGGACAGTGCAGTTCCATTTCACACCAGACAGAACAAATATTAAGCCTTTCCATCATGAAGCTGATCCTTACCTGCACATTTCTCTTCCATTAAGCAAGCACTGCCCTAGTGCTGGCTGGAAGCTGAGGCAGACAGGCTGTGCTGGAAGTCAAGCAGCTCAAAATGGCTCTTTTCATGGTGAAGCAGGTTTCTGCAGCCAAAGAGGAAGTTTACTGACAGTAGCTGCAGGAAGTGACAAGAGTGGGGAGGTTGCTAAGAGCCTTATCTCAGAGTTTGCATGCTTTACGAGAAAACTTTTCAGCTCTGTGCTTTTATAAAACTGAAATATTTAAATGTTTGTGGCTCTTGTCTGGTATATGTAGGTATGTAGGAATTCATAAATACTTATTTGCCTGTCTTTGTTGAAAGTAGTTACAGTTACTTCTGTGAGAGTCAAAAATTATGCAAGTTTAGATTGTATTTGATCTTCCTGATTTAATTTCAGTGGTGGGTTTGGTGCGCTGTCATGATTATTAGTGGAAAAGCAGCCCGAGGTTCGTTGCAGTGAGTCATAGAAGGCTATCTGCTCGCAGCATGCTGGCTTGCTTACACATCCTGCTTTGTGTAGTTGCATTAAAAGGCAGGTAACTACAGATTTCACCCTTCTCCTGCCTCCTACTCTCCATGTTATCTTTCTGTCTGCATGACTTTGGTACCTGCTGCCATCATTAATGGGGGGCTGTGCTCTCTGAGCAGCTGTTTTCCTACTGTCTTTGTCCATATCATTTAGTGTAACCCAAACTACTTTTCTTTTGTCTCCTTGAGCATTTTTGCCTAGAAAGGCTGCCTGTCAGAAAGAAACCCGCACAAATATGTCCTCGTGGCATTTTGCAAGTGTGTTCTGCCAGTGCCAAGTAGCTACTGCCAGATCCTTCTGCAGCTTCTTCATCTCTTCCTGCTTTTCTTGTTGTGACTCTCTTCTGGTTGCACTAGTTCTCTTTTTCAGGCTCTCCCTGCTCCTGCAGCACACAAAAATCCTGATCCCATACTCACATTAGAACTCAGTTTCTTCTCCAATTCCTCCATCTCATCCCCATTCTTTTCAATCCTCATAGTCTCCACCTCTCTTTTGCCACAGTTCCCACCTCATTGACAGTTCTCTTCTCCTTTCTGTTTTTCCATCCTTCCACTGGTAAGATCATGATTCTTTCCTTTTTTGCCCACTTTTTCATGACACTGCTGATTTATCCCTTTAATCTGCTGCCTACTAACAACTTACTGTGTTCCCGTGTCCAGGCTGGTTCTTACAGATTCATTCTCCTGTCTTAGTTCTGTTATCTTCCTAGCTGTGAGCAGTTTTACACCAGGTTAAATTCCCACGTTTGCTACCTTGGATCCTTTTTTTTAGTACTTGCACAGCCTCTGCTGTTGCCTCATGTGCTCATGATCATTTTAGGGAAGGAGAAGGCAGCTGCAATGCAGCATCCCCCAACCCTGCCCTTCAGCTCTCTTTCTCTCACCAATGTGAGATGTTCTCAGTTCATCTCCCCTAAGCACCAGGTTGTCATCACCGATCCATCACAGTTTGCCCTTTTTCTTCTCCTGGCCTTTCTCCTCACTTTTTAGGAATGCTTGACATAATCCCCTGTCCTCTCATTCTGCTTGTGTGTTGTGTTGCACCTCCTCCCTTTGAGCTCTAAGATCTGAATATGTGGTTTATGGCAGATTCATTGGAATTTGCTCTCTAGTTGGATTTTTTCCTTTCTTCAATGAACTTACTTTCTAATGACTCCCAGTTCTGGGCTAAGCTTGCAAACTCCTTCCAACTTTATCCTCCTTACTACACAAACCACCTTTGACACGGGCAGTTGCATTTTTTTTGAGATCTTGTGCTCTCTTGGCTTCCTCGCATACTGTCTTTTTGTTGCTTTTCTGTTGCTTCTTTACCTGCCCTTTCAGATAAGTTTGTGGGTGATGTAATGGGGATTCAGTCTTATAACTCATACAAACCATCTCTTGTGTCAAAAATGTTTGTTACAGATGCACTCGATGTTTAGAGCTTTGTCACTACGCAGTTTTAACCCTTGCAACAGTGGTGCAACGGATCCTCTTTAACCCCGAGTAGCTTGTGAAAAACTTCTCCTGTTTCCTTAAAATGACAAACCTCTGTGGTAGTGACACGGGATGCAGACATCCCCCAGAAATAAGGGAAAAGACAGGTCTCTCTGAGAATAGAGAAACTAAAAGTTGTGGTGCTTCTTGAAGAATTTTTTTGGCATGTTCTAGTTGGTTGTGTTAGGGCAAAGTGGAGTATGTTTCTATATGGATGTTTCCGTGATGCAAGAAATCACTGCTAGTCATCAGAGAAGACTTTTACTGACCTTTAGCAAATGTTATAGGAATATATAACATTCAAAAATGCCCTGTGTAATTTTTTAAATAATATTTTGACTTACATAGTATCACATAAGCTATTTAAAAACTGATATTGCTAGTTTATTGGAGATAATGAATTGAAGCAGTTCTCATATGCTAACATAGAATACAAACTTCATATATTCGTACGCAAGGTCGGAACGCAATAAAAATGATTCGAATCTTAATCTGGTTCAAAAGCAATTAAGCTTGTTTAAGAAAGTTCTCGATGGAAAAACCTGAAAGGGCATTTTGGGAGAGACCAGATCCTGGTTCAGGAATTGCGTCGAAGTCGCGACTGAGCTGTGGTTTTCTCAGGACTGGAAGCTGGCCCTGCCTGCGAAGCGCCCTGTGGCACCGTGTAGCTGCTACACCAACAGGCCTTTTCTTTTCTCCCTGCTGGTGGTCTCAGAGAATGGGCAAACTTCTGTCCTTTTGTTTTATCCCCTTCAGCTCCTGTCGCCGATTTCTGGTCAAAGGCGTGAAACTGGTCTTGACGCTATTTCTAAGAAGCTATTTAACAGTCTTATTCCCTCCTACATCTACACGTTGCTGCAGCGTTCCCGCTGTCATAAGAAGCAAAACCCTAAGATCTGAATTTAGCTTTCCAGTGTTAAAATTCGTGTTGTTTCTTGAAAGCTGGGGGTTTGCCTCATATCAATGATGTATAAAATGCAAAAGATGAGTTTTTACCTGAGTAGGGATTAAATCTCAACTACAAAATTGGTTAAAATGGGTTTGTGTGACTTTGGTTCTTTGTTTTCCTGTTCATTTTGTATTTCTTTAGTGAGTTTCTCAGTAGTTTCGTCTTCAGTCTTCCTTTGGATCGCAGCATTTCTGCCTGATATCAAATCTTGCATTATCACATCAGTACCAGTTGTCTCCGTAGGCATCCTCTGCCATGTTCCTGCTGCACTTGGCCATAAACTGTTCGTAGCCAGAAGATCGCCGTTGCTCCTCGGCCTACGTTTTCCTCGCTTAGTTTTTTTGAGATATGACATTTTGTTTGCTATTATGACTGTCGACAGAAATAAGAAGGTGCAGATAAGCACAAGTACTGCTATTATAATGAAACAAATCAGTATGAGAGACTTATTGTCTTCACATGTTTCTTTTGTCGTTGTACTCTTGGGTTTGCTGGTATTCCTGGGTCCTCCAGCAGCAGAAACCGCACTTCTGGCAGGGGAAGATGTTGAATTTGGGGCCATTGTCGAGGATAAGGACTGCAGGGTACTTCTCTGCGTTTCAAAAGTAGTTGTTTCACTGTTGAAATTGATGCTTAGAGGAGAATTTGTACTGTCTTCTGTTATGTTCTGGCTTCCACTTAGGTTTTGGCTGATAGGATTCCAGGTTCCATTTATAATCCTAGGATAATCAGTATGGTTGGCACTTGTTTGCAAACACAGAGAAAATATTATCATGATAGGGAAGGAGAAGTGTGGTTTACTGTGTCTCTTCATCTTCATTTTCCTATTTAGTCACCTGCAAAAGTACAAATCGTGGTATTAGTTTAGCAAGTGGTAGTGCTTGAGGTTTGAATGGGACTTCGCGGGGAATAGCAGGCGGCAGCCTTCCTGATGAACAATATGGAACTTGACCTCAATTTTAGTAGGTGTAGGAGGAAGAGTTCAAGTACTTGGAATTCTGAAAGGATGAGTTGTCTCAAACTTCTGACAGTTTGAGGTTTGTTTCTATAAATAGATCAAAAAAGAACATGGAGCAAAGAGAAAGGAAAGTGTTCCCTACTAACTACTCAGTGATGTAGAGGCAGACTCGGTGGTAGTTCCTCCTCTTCAAAGCTAATCATATTACAACTTCAAGTTCATCACTTCTGCTTTTACACAGGGAAAGGAGAAACTCATGTAAATTTACAGATTACTGCTTCCTACTTTCCTGTATTCCCCTGAATGTGGGGAATGTAACTATGCTTGTAGAGATGGCCAAGGGAAAAGCGTTTATCTAAAATGTTCCTCTAAGTGGCAGCAGTAAATTATTTCAGTTGTTTATATTTCTTAGCACAGCTGTCTGGAGTTATTGCATAAATGCCTAGCAAAATCTTTGTTCTCTAATTTTGCTGCTTTATTGTACAAAAGGCTGTTTATCACAAATGAACTTCTCAAATTTTTCTCACAAACATGCTACAGATTGTGACATTTTCTTTGAAACGCCCGAGATAATTATGCAAATGATATTAGCATTAATGTGTTCTGTTTCACATTTGTGTAGTTTTTCAAATCTGTACCTGTTGACTTTGTCTGGAGGGCAGGAAACTGATCTTTATGTCAGTCTCATGCCATGATAATAACCTCAAAATAATAGTGACGAATCAGACAAGCAGTGACCCACTCCCCTGCTGCAGCTCCGTCCAGTTTGCATGAGACACGTTCAGACCTAAAGGCTTATCATCCCATGCAGTGCCTCTCTTTCCCCTATTAACAGAACAAAATGTTTCCTTTTATGTTACAGACTGTTTGTTTCAAATGTAAACAATATGGAGAATGACGGAAAGAAACAGGACAATTTTTGTAAATACATTTGTTCTTGAAGATATTACTTAAAAGGCAATGAAGCCTATCTGTGTGTGTGTAAGATTAGGTAATTTTGAAATATTTGGGTGATGTTTGCTTTTATCGTGGTCAAAAGTTACCATGCCTCCCAAAGAACTTCCTGTGTTCACTCCCAAAAATCAGAGGGGTGACCTTGCCTGTCTCGCCAAACCCAAATGGCAGTCCTCCGTGTTCCTGAAATCCCCAGGAAAGCGGAAGAAGTGATCTGCCTGGTACGCAGCCAGGGGACAAACTGGGTGTCCCTCCTTGCATGGCGAAGGGGCAGCAAAAGATCACATATCTTTTACTTTGCAGCTCACCCCAACATAAATCTAGGCTCCCTTCGGAGATGAATACTTGTTGTTAACAGTAATAATTGTTGTTAACAGAAATACTTGTTGTTAAGTTTGAACTATAAACCATCTCAGTAATCAACTGCAGCTCAGGTAGAATGTTTATTTTCATACGGTGAAGGTTGCCTGGAGGCTGCCTTGTAGCAGACTTTAAATAGGAAATAGGCAAAACCCAGCAAAGCCTTTTTTTGGAAACAAAACAACGTTTCACATAAAGTTTCTGCACGACATGCAGAACTGAGATGCGTTTGCCGGTACAGATACCCTCCAACATTTAATGTTGCTGTCTGAGAGTTGCCAATCTGTCTACTCCCTCCAAGAATACAGCCAGTCCGATGTTAATTGTAGCATTCTAGACCAGATGTGCTTTTCATAAAAATAAACAAACTGATGTTGTTAAGGGCTTCACTTAAAGTCACGAGAGCAAAGGAACTGATCATTAAAGAACTGTTTTTTCTTTTAGTTGAACCCTTTGTGTGTAGGTATTGATAGAATCTTCTGTCAGTGCACTGCAAGATCTGCACCGCGTGGGAACAACCGAGCTGAGTAGAGACTGTCACTGTTCAGAATTCGGAGTCTGATTATGAATAACCTTTAACATGACTAAAGATTCAGTTCTATCAGCTTCCTTAATTCAATCGAGATAATATTTTTATGCATTGCTACGATTTTGGAGTTACTCAAACTACTTTAAAAATATTTTTGCGTATAATTTTCCATAAAAATCTAAGAAAGTTCGAGGTGGAAGTTAAAATAGGAGAAGGAAAAAGTGTACTTACCGTGCCAAGAGGTAGTCAAAAGAAAATTGGTGTTTCAGGTGTTTAGTTCTTTAAAAGTAAAATTTCTTTGTGCATATATTTGCTCTTAGGAGGTGAACGACCCTGAACATGAAGCAAGTAGATTTAGACAATACTGGTATTTTTTAAGCAAATCTGTAACTGAAATTATATGTCGTTTACTCTAAGTGGAGAACTGAAACCACAGAGATGACACACTTCCTTTTTGTAACAACTATACCATGACACGTTGGGGGGGAAAAACACCAACTTGCCCAAATTAGCTCTCAGAACAACAGGAAGTAACACAGGGAAGAAAAAAATATCTCTGGCAAACAAATATTCTACGTTCATGAAATTTATCTCCTGAGTTATCCTGGACTCAGGTGGTTTACCTCCAGTGCCATCAGGAGCAGTGTCCCAGTACAATCAAAGCTACCTACGTGCTTACGGAATTTATTAGCTCTTTCTGTGGCCTGTTGGTTTACTTTGGGAGAGTTGAGTTACTGCTAGCCTGAAACAGTGATAGGGGTTTAAAAGTGCCTGAGATGTTCACGAGCTGCTGTTGAATTTGATTTTTAATTAGTTGTTCCTAGTAGAATTGCCTGCTGTGCTAACTCTGGAGACTTGGTTTCGGCAGATACGCCCTCAAGTCTTACAGAATTCAGAGAACAGTTAAATGAGTGCAAAAGATTATTAATATTTTATATTATCTGAATGTTTTTCTGGGTATAGGTATTTTGTAGACGAATCCTCTGTACTGTTCAGAGGACTGGCCATTCTTAGAAGCACTTCACCGGGTGTTAGAATATGCTGCAGTATATAGCAAAAAACGAGTTTGAGACCCTTTGAAAAAGTTGGTATGTGGATGCTTAATTAGTCTTAATTAAGAATTCTGAAATAAATATGTATTCCCACATATAAAAATAGATATAATTTGAATCTAAGGAGGTTTAAAAGTTAGTTTGAGGGACTTATATTTCACTTTTGTTTTGGTCAAAACTCAGAGCTCTTTTCATACAGTCCAGTTTTGATCCAATTGATGCACTGTTGCTCTCCAGCATGGGTTTTATTTTGCCTTGTAGTCAAATAAACCTCCTGTGTGGAGGCTGCTCGGCTGTGATAGGTTGCGTGGCACTCCAAAACGAAGTTGAGTTAAATCCCAAGTCAAGCTTTGTCATACCGGGCACTAAACTTGGCTGGAGCGTGAGCCATGACACAACAGTAACAGATGCCTTTAGGCTGTAGCCGCCAGTCCAGGGTCGTTGCTTTGGATCGATGGCGTGTTCGGAACTATCTGAAGGGTCAGTCTGGTCTGATGTCCTAGTAGTACGTGTAATGCACCACTCAGACCTTTGTCATGTGGGTCTAAAACGCAAACCCAACGATGTCTGTCTTGTTTTCTTACAGATTCAAGACTGGTCAGATCAACGGAGATTTGTTGATATACCATGTACTGCTAACTCTGAAGCCATACTATGCAAAGCCATACGAAATTGTAGTGGACCTCACACACGCTGGCCCCAGTAACCGCTTTAAAACAGACTTTCTTTCTAAATGGTTTGTAGTTTTTCCAGGCTTTGCTTATGAAAATGTCTCAGCCGTTTTTATTTATAACTGTAACTCTTGGGTCAGAGAATACACCAAATACCATGAAAGGCTCTTGACAGGTTTGAAAGGAAGCAAAAGGCTTATTTTCATAGACTCTCCAGGGAAACTGGCAGAGCACATCGAACACGATCAGCAGAAACTCCCAGCAGCTACCTTGGCTTTGGAGGAGGACTTGAAAGTATTTCACAACGCTCTCAAACTGGCTCATAAAGACACCAAAGTTTCTATTAAAGTAAGTCCTTTTAACGCTGTTCCTAGTGAATGGTTATATTTTCATAAGGATTTGAATATGATTTTACTGTCTCTTATTTCTCCTTCTGTCTTGAGGAGAAATCACAACTTACTAGTATGCCTCTTTAGGAAGTATAAATTTTCATGTATTTGTCTTTGTAAAATTAGAACTGTCGGACCTTTCTCTCGTTGTGTTGTTAAGAACCGTTTTTCTATTCTCTTTCCAAGGTCGGGTCAACAGCTGTGCAGGTGACATCAGCAGAACGAACAAGAGTCCTGGGACAAACGGTGTTTTTGAATGATATATACTATGCCTCTGAAATTGAGGAAATATGTCTTGTTGATGAGAACCAGTTTACCTTAACCATTGCCAACCAAGGCACGCCACTCACCTTCATGCATCAGGAGTGTGAAGCCATCGTTAGGTCCATCATTCACATACGGACACGGTGGGAGCTGTCACAACCAGACTCCATCCCACAGCACACTAAAATTCGTCCCAAGGATGTCCCTGGAACACTACTGAACATAGCGCTGCTCAACCTGGGAAGCTCAGACCCCAGTTTGCGGTACAGATCTTTTAAATTAGCATCAACTTCCGTCAAAAATGTGAATCTTTTCCTAGGTTTCCTTAGCGTTAGCAAATCTCTCATGAACAAAACCATTTTTCTTTCACCACAACTCAGTAAAATGTACTTTTTAATATAAAGAAAGATTGGGTTTCCTATAGGTGAAGAAAGGCATGCATGCTGTCAGGGTAACTGAAGGCACGTAGGAAGCTTTATTTAACTTCATAGGGAGACCTACTTCTGCTTTGCAATATATATTTATTAGGTACATTTGATTTCCTTGGTGTCGAACTTCTGTACCTCGTGGGCTCCTGGGTCATGTCAGAAGGGTGCTGGCTCGGGGGCCCTCGGCAGTCCCTCTCCCTGCAGTGCAGGTGCAC